TTGGTACGTTATTTAGTGATCTTTTACAATGCAACTTTAGTGGTTTCGGCTTCTAATTCTGTGGGGTCTTATAAGTGCTACAACGAGATAGTGACTGTTGAGAGAAATCTCATTCATCTTAGCAAGAATGCTGATGGAGAGTTGAGGTCAAAAGCGAAATCTATGAGAGCTAAGTTTGACAAATATTGGGATGGGGTAAAGGAAATCAATACACTGTTGATCATAGCTAGTGTATTCGATCCTAGGAATAAAATGAAGTTTGCAGATTTATGCTTTGATACTTTGTATGGTGAAGATAGTGTAGAGTCCAAAGCGATGCATGATTCTGTCATGGGAGTTATGAAACGCCTGTTTGAAGAGTACAGCTATCGTTTGAAAGTGTCAATGCCATCTGGTCAGTCGACTGCAACATCCACTTTTAGTGAGCAAGAATCGCAAGAGCCTTTGCAAGAGTCAATGGACTTAGACACTAATCTTGGCTATGATATAATGGACGATATCTATCAAGAGATGATAGATAAGATAGGTAATGAGAATCCAAACACTGAGTTAGAAATATATTTGAAGGAGGAAGTGGTCCCTCGGAAGCCAAGTTTGCTGGGTACAGAGTATGATGTCTTGAATTTTTGGAAGGTTAATTGTTCGAAGTTCCCTATTTTGTCGGAAGTTGCTAGAGATGTACTTGCTATGCAAGTTTCTTATGTTGCATCTGAATCTGTCTTTAGTACTAGTGGTCGAGTTTTAAGCCCATCAAGGAGTTGTTTGACTCACTATATGATCGAAGTGTTAATGTGCACAGAGCAGTGGATGAAGTCTGAAATTCACTACACTGAAAAGGGACTGGTTACCATACAGAAATTGCTTGCCGAGATTGTATTGCAAGATGAACTTGAACAAAGTAAGTACTTACTTATTTTAAGTCACTTTTCCTTTATTATTTGTACTTCTCAATTCTCATTCTTAACATTCTGGTTTTTAAATTTTAATAGAGAATGAAACTGGTTTTGAAGGAGCGATGAGTGACTAAAAGGTACCATTTCTGTGTTTCTCTGTTTTTGTGGATTTACTTCTGATTGTGTTCGATCTGAAATTGTGGTGATCTCTTAGGTTATGTGGTTGGATTTTTGCCGCTTCTGGGTTTAATTGTTCTGTAGCTTCTTGGAATTGAACTGTAAAGCTGTCATTAGATAATTTTGCTTAGTTCTCGTGAATCAAAGATCAGCTATTGGGAAGAAATTTTACTATCTCGTAGGCTCTTAGTTGAATTAGTCTTGAAGTCTTGAATCATATTCTTTTTGCATTTGTTTTGATTATGCGCTTATGAGTGACAATCTTTATGAGGAATCATTTGGTCGAGTGTTAGCAATCAAAGTAGAATTCATTGTTAACTTGTTTTGTTCTTAGTTTTCTTCTTGTTGAGAGTAAATACGTTTCTGAATCAGATTTTGGACTTGTTTATTTTTAATTGTTAAAGAATCGCTAATGATATAGTTGTGAATTGATGATGATTTAATGATTTGATCTTTGTTATTGACTTTTTCTATGCTAGGAGTACGAGTCTAGGAGATGAAGAGAAGCTAAGATCACAATCCACTATCTTGTAATGTTTTTTTGTCGAGTAACTTAAGTTAACAAGTTACTTGAATCTTGAATGGTTATGTGATTTATGCCACTTTTGTGTTATGTTTCTATTTTTATGTCTTTAAAACTTGAGTTTAAATACTTATGCTCTTCTCTTTTGTAAGTTTGCACTTTGCACAATTTCGGTTTGAACTTTGAAGTTTATGTATTCGATATTTCAATTGTTTGCATTTCACAATTTTGGGTTAATAGGTTTCAAGAGGTACTGATCGGTTCTTTTGAGTCCAAATTGGGTCTAACCGGTTCCAAACGGGTTTTTTCGTGTGCAAATAACAGGTTTCGGATTTTCTTTGGGTAATATATAAATTACAGGAACCGACCCGGACCCGAGACGGACCCGAACCGAACCGAACCAAATTCTTCTCGGATCCTAAACGGGTCTTATCTACACCTACCCGAACTACCTGACCCGACCCGACCCGAGGACCCGTATGCCCAGGACTAATCCATACAATAAGAACAAACTTAGGCGAAAGAAATCTTTAGAATACGGCTATATGAAAAGATGCATAAAAAACAGTTAATAAAATTTTCCTAAAATCCTGTTGGAAGAATCACAATGAAAGTAAACTGCTCACGCGTTATTAAGCGAAGTCAAAAAAATTATAGATGAATGAAAATGCTTAGATAAATCAATAGAAACAAAGAGGGTTCGAGAAGAATCTATCTCACTTATGAACAAAGAACAAAAGCAATAAAAATTCTAAAACTACTCGTGGCTAAGTATGTTTTTGGTGGCACACGAAAATAAGAATCTCTAACTAAGTATTTATAGGTCTTGAACATCTTCTAGGCGCCTCTTAGGGTTATGCTTGTGTTTGACGGCTGCGGAAATGAGTTAAGCTTGCAAATGGGCTCGGGAACTTCAAATGAAGTGCCCCTGCGAGCGAGCTCCCATGGCGCGGCTAATGCAACTGTAAAACTTGCTTATCGCGGCCACAATGCTTCCTTGGTGTCTTGACGAACTTTCTTACTTACTTCATAACTTGAGATCCAACTGTGAGATTATCCTCAAATTACTTAGACGTGAAAGGTAGTAGACCAATCTATCTTGTCACTAAAATTCAGCTTGATCTCATGGTGGAAAGGTCTCCGTCTAGTGCTAAATTGATGTCATCTTGCACTTGTTTCGGAAATGTTTCTATTGCTCCATTTTGCATCTCTTTTGATAAATTTATCTGAAATGAGTCTTGACCAAGGACGGACATAGGAAATAATTTCATATGGGGCACAATTTATTCAAATACTAAATATAAATAATTAATATATATTATAATTATAGAAAATATTAAACATATTATTAGAGTTTAATATCTTATTTTTTGAAATTTTAAATTTGAACTAAACTAAAAAATATAATTTTTTTAGTAAAAACTAACATAAATCGTATATTTCACATAATAATTTTTTTTTAGTAAAATAATATTTTTGTTTTTAAAATTATTTTATATATATATATATTAAAAATAATTAAATAGATATAAAAAATTGTAAATCTAACTAAAATAGTGATGAAAGCACTATAAATCACCTGAGAAATGACTGAATGAAGATAAATGTTTTCTTGTGGAGAAAGAAAGTAAAAAAACAAATAAAAATAAAAGGTATGAGGGTCGAACCCTGATGGAGAAAGATAATAGTACACCATTAAAACCTACTCACGTGTATCATTTTAATTACTCATTATAACAAACAATATTAAATATTTAGTATGTGGCACGTGCCCTAATATTTATAACGTGAGTCTGCCCCTGATCTTGACCATACAAATATTCAAATTCTAGTGTTTGTGCATAAAAACATTAATGATGTATCTGATTAAGCATTCACTTATAATAGTAAAAATGAAGAAAAATGGATGTTATCAGCAATGCTGAGTAGATCTCTCTAGAAAGAGTTCTTACGCGAGCGACCACCTTCCATTTTTCTTTTTCTGAAAGTGTTTCAAACATATCGTACCAAGTCCGGGACGCGCTATAGTTCGAGACAAACACATCGATCCAAAAGGATCGCTTTAAACCATCTCATTCGACTTACCATTCACATTACCCGTACGGGGAAGTCCACCCATAAGGTGACATCACCTGATAATTCCTTTCGATATAAATAACTAGTTTCGATTATCTTATTGGAAGCTAGTAGAGGATTGACGTCCTGACCCAAATCCGGATGAGTCTGGAAATCGAGATAATTGTTAGGCCCAAAAAGAGCCCACGTGTTCGATGGATGGATACCAAACGCTGAGGGAGCTCAAGGAATATTAAATGCACCTTATCCACTAAGAACTGTTGCAATGATGACGACTAAAAAAAGAATGGAGCAGCTGAGTGGAGCCTTCTCCCGTAATATTGTGCATCGAGAAATTCGGTCTAACTCATAGCAGTTCTTTGGACTAGAAATCTGGACCTAGACCAAACAACCAAGTCCGACTTGTAATTAGTTATTTTTTATAAGTACACTATTCACATTAACAGAGAGGAGAAAAATTCCTAAAGAGTTAAAGTTCATCTTCTATCATTTATTTCTAAAATTCACTGCTTACAAGTTCTTTTGAGACCACTTCGGGTCGAAAGAATAACCATCCTGAAACACTCCGTCCATCTCGTTATTTCACTTCTTTCGATTAGTCAACTTAAGCATTAGATAATAAACAAGAGAACAACCACTTACCATTATGTCATATTTGCGCTGTTTTATCATTAACCAGTGCACCGGCCCACTAACTCACAAACTCATTCACGTAGTATGTGTAATTTGCTTTTGTTATATAATTTGAGAAACTTACAAAAAAAAAAAATTATAATCAAAGTGATTATTTAGACTTGTAAATTGAAATCATTTAAAATTTTTCTTCCTACTTTATAAATAAAAAATTACTTGGCATTTTTCATTTTTAGAATTGAAAATGATAGAGAATGTGTTTTAACTCCAGAACTACTTTATAAATAAAAAGATTAACTTCTAAATAACATATAAATTAAAGTTACTGTATATATAGACTTTTTTTTCGACATTTTCCCATTTTAAAGTTTGATATAGTTGGAATTTTTTTATTTATATCCGAGTTTCTGCTCGTTAACTTTAGACAGTGAGCAATTTAGACAAAAAGGTCACTTCCTAAACTTAGAGATATTCAGTACAATAAGTGACTTTAAGAAAAACAACCATTGATAGAGTTAAGGGGCAAAAGCATATTTCAAACCCCACCAGAAGCCAGAGGCAACAAGGCTGGCGAAAATAGTCACAAAAAACATACCAAGCCTAGTGTTTTGTTGCCTTAAACCGATTAAAAAACCCGAGAGATCCTAATATGAAAGTCAGAAATGCAGACTGCACATTCAAGATGATACTTCTTCCACCTAACAGAAGAACATAGAATCTGCGACATTGTCTTTGAGTTTGGGGAGCTGAGGCACCGAGACTGGTCCTGGAGCTGTCACACCACCGTGGCTTGATGACGTCTCAGATTGGTCTTCAAACTTCATGAAAGTCCCTAGCTGAGCAGCTGCCAAGTGAGCATAGCAGATCGGCGCAACTGCACAAGAATTAAAATGTCAGTTACTAACAGACGAATACACTTAAGAATCAATGGAGAGTAGGTGAAAAGAATCAATGGGAGTACTTACCAACAGAAATGGCAGTGGTGCTTCTTTGGTACCTGAAAATTTGACAAAGAATGAAATCAGATCATTTCTGTTATCAACACAATGAAAATGTTATCAAAGATAAGCAATGAAGGTTGAGACTACATACACATATGAGAGCGAGTGGACGAGTTCTTGAAGTTCATCAGGTGAGAAATGGATCTCATCATACAAGACGTGGTAATGTGTAGGACGAGTCGTTCCCTAATTGAAGAACACAAAGAGAGATGAAACACGTAAGAAACAAACACTTGTACTAGCAATCAACATATGCGGCTTTTAAAGGAGTTGACATGGTACTTACAATCATTCCGGCGTGTGCACAGAGATAGAAGTCATTGTTTTTCGGGTGACAGATCTTGTTATCGATGATAGTCCCTATAGAAACAAAACAAACACACCATGAGATCATGTATGTGTATGTGTTAAAAAGGTTATGATGCAGATTAATCACTCACCTGGTGGAACGTTATCAGGAGAGTTAGTCTGGAAAAACTTGGTGTGATGATTCTTTTGAGCCACCAACAGAAGGAACTTTGGGTTCCATTTCTCATCCATTAGCTTACATGCCTGAGGAAAGAGAGATACAATATAACTACTAACAGAGTAGCCCCAAAAAATACACTAACAAACAGCTTTCTCATCTTTGAATATTTCAATTACCTCAATGATCTGATCAAGTTCAATGTTCAGAACCTGGTTGAACTGAGATTCACTAACACCATCCCTACAAGCATTAAGACATTTAGACGTGTATGAGAAAAATGAAGAAGAGACCAGAGTTCTGATGTAACAAAGACACAAAGTAATTACCTGAAGATTATGATATGCTCTGGCTTTCTCTTACCAGAGCTAGCGTAGAAATCTACCAGCAACTCCCTGCAATCAACACACAAAGTTACATAAATACTCAAAACTAGAGCTCATGCAAGACTCAACAAAAAGGAAAAAGCCACAGAGATTTAGTATACCCACTTGATAATGCCATCGTCTTCATTCCCATTTTTCTTGATGAGAGACTCAATCATCTCAGCCTTTGAAGGCTGTGTGCGAACAGATGCTCTGTATTTGGAGATTAGAGGCCACTGCCTAGAACTCACCACCTAAGAAAACCATAACAAAAAAGACAATAGATAACAGTGTCAAAGAATTCACCTAGCTGATGCAGAAGCAAACAGTAGAGAGTAATATCTTACAGCAGCAATGGAAGGGACATCAGACTGTCCCGGAGAACCATGTGAAACATCCATCCCAAGGATGATGGTTGGGACCTTCGAAATGACAGTGAAGGCTGGTGTACGCTCAACGCTCAGAATAGCGTTCAGGCCACCAAGCTGTAGAGTATATGAATTAGAGATTAGCACACAAGACGCAAATGAACCATTGGTACAGAAGAGAGACAGAGAACAGAGATCACCTTGGCATTGATCTTCAGAAGACAGTTTGTAAGATACTGATCGTTAGGCTGTCGCGTTGGAGCCATGCATTGAGTAACAATGCCGTACTCAGTAAGGTTTTTCTTCTTCCAAGGGCCTGAGGAGGAGACATTCAATTTTCTTTTGTCAAAGAAACATTCTGATATCTGCAAAAAGAAAATCTCAAGGACTGGAATTAAGAGATAACTAACCATAAATGTCGCAGTTCTTCTTCTGGGGGAGAAGACAAAGAATGAACTGCGGAGCACCTGGGAGTTTAGATTGGATCTCCTCAAACATCTGCTCTACACGAATAAGAGGAGGAGCATTGCAGAATCTACGGTTTTCCTCAAACACAGTAAAAGGAGCAGCAATTTCCTGTGACAAAATACAGAAAGAAGCAGTTAACATTACAATGTTGTTGATCACAAACAAATTTTCAAGAACACACAGAGAAAAGAAGAAAAATCTTGCTTACAATTCCTTTCGATGCTCCAATTCTAGTTAGATCATCTACGATTTGACGTACATTGCAGCGCGCAGAGAAATTTACAACAGCCCATTTTTGTATCTTGGTTGGCTCAACAAATTCCTGCACAACAAAGGGAGTCAGACTATGTAAACATGCAAGTAATACAACGAAAAGGTAGAGAGAAACAGCACCTTGTTGTTGAAATTCCAGCGACCGTTTCGTGTGAATATTTCATTTCCTTGCCCCGCTTTTAGCTGTTGGGCAAAGAAAACAAGAGAAAATTAACTGTATGCGAAAGATTTTAAGACATTTTATCAAGTCAAAACTAAGCAATTGTACCATACCTTGGGAGCTTGCAGAACGCGACCCTCCACCTGAGTAAAGTTAGAGCTGATTGAAATGCCACAGGAGCGCAAGAGAGGCTCAGTGTCATAGTTGCTAACTTGAAGAGCCTGAAAACATTTAGCCAAAGATATATAAATTCCAGTTCTCTGACAAAACTGAACAGTTACGAAACAGTCAGGATACTTTACTTTGGACAGGACACTCATCCTCTCTTGGGGCTTCTGTCTAGATTTCTCGACAAGGGCAGATCTTTGGAAAGTATTCAGCGCTTTTGTGTACCTCTGAAGCGGAATCAAGGAGCAGAGCTGCAAAATTCCACCAAATTACAAAGGTTAGCACGAAAATCGGAAACAAGTTAAATAACATGAGAATATTGATGTGTAAGAGACGCAAACCTCAATAGGAATATAAGTTGGTCGTTTTGGCTTCCCGACATTGATGCACGGCAGATCTCCAGAATATTGCAACTCCAGATGCCTTTCCTTGTTGAAGTACTCAGATACTGTTATTTCAACAGTTTCGAACTCACCATTCTCATTCTTCAGTGCGTTCCTTGGCCTATATTCAAACCTAGACAAGGTACAAGCCAACTTCAGAAAACTATATATCTTCGAAAGGAATCACAATGCCAGCAAACTAAAACAGTAACAAAAGCCTATCACTACAAAGTGATATTGATTGAATGGAATCTTACTTCTGTTCACTGCAGATCTTATCACTTATGCCAGTGATCCTGAACTCTTGGTTTGAGGGGCTGACTTTAACCCTCAGGTTCTTGAGCGCCCTTTTTGCCTGTTGTAAACATCATGTTAAAACGTTAGCAGATATTTTTAAAAAAAAGGTAAGGAACATGCTTAGACCATGACATAGCCACATCTCATAATAAGTAGATCACCTTAGACCAGTCAACACTAAACGGATCTTTTGCATCTTGGTTAGCAAGAACAAAGTCAATAAGAGGACCAGGCTTGATTATCATCGTGGTTGTAACATCTGGAAAAAGAACAAAACAATAACCATTAGACACTAAATCAGAGCTGCAACAAAAAGGAAACACACACCAACATCAAGAACAGGTGAAAATTATGTACCCATGTTGAGGGACATGCCACCCTGCGTCGTTCGGAAACTCGAATGGAATCCTCTACACCCTAGGATGTTACCACCAACTGGTTCACAGTTACTCGGGTCATTATGGAAAAATGACTGTCGCACAAGCAGGCAGCCTCTGCAAGTTTTCCAAAGTTATTAGAAAGACAAAACAAAGATATGACATCATAGAAGGTAATCTATACATGTATCACTTACTGTCTAGCAGCGTGTTGGCGCAAGATTATATCCAAAACCCTTATTGCTTCCTGCGACATCTCAGATTCTTGGCCACGCATTGCATTAGCAAGAGCTTGTAGAGGAATCTTGGCCGCATAGCTGATCTCCACTCTAAAGTTTTTGGCACGGTTGGGCCGACGCAGTCTTTTCCTATCACCATCGCCTTCGTTCCCATTGGGGCTTGCGTTACCATTAGTCCTGCTCATAAAATTATCAATCAGAACAAAAACTAAAGCACTCAAACGAAGGACCAATGTGATAACTTTTACCTAGCGGAAGATACTTCCTCAAGCACCACAGAAAAGTCCATCTTGTTACTAGGCAAAGCTCCATAAGTAAACAGCGTCTTTTCCCCATCATAGGCAAACTCTTTGCCATCTAGATCAGAGCGGTATGTATCATGAACCTTATCAAGGACTTTTCTTCCAACGCCCTTTTGCTCAACCGGACGACCATCGTCATAGAAGAGAGCCACCTGTTCAAAACCACAAATGGTCACATTAGTTTAACATGTCAACATTCAAAAGAAAACAACAGATACAATGAACCTAAGAGAAGCAAAAGCATACACTGTAGTGGTAGAAATGTCCTTGCAGATTAGCCACGTTAACTTTAAAATAATTAGTCAACAGTTGTATCTTCTGTCCCTTAGATCCAAACCCATTCCGAGCCATAGGGATTTTCAGGTTTTTCTTCTCTTCGGTTTTAAGCCGCACTGGCTCAACATTGGGAGGTATGATCGGTGGGGGAGGAGGCAGTGCATCAGTAACCCCACTCCCATTTGCTGATTCAAGCTCAGTTCCATTACCGTTGGTAGAATCCATGTCCTGCACAAACAAACCGCAATTAAAAAAGGCTTAGGTCAACATCCAGACATATATCTGTGCAAAAAAGTCTACATATATCAAAGTTTCCAACTTTTTTGTTCGTAAAACCCAGAGAGCAAGTCAAATCTTAGACTGATACTAACAAAATTCTCGGTTTCAACATTTGGTATTATATGCAACAAAAACATACTGTCTTAATCTAAGCTACATTAATCAAAGTCCCTAACTTTCGTTCACAAAAACACAGAGAGAAGTCAAATCTCTGACTCATACTAAAAAGGTGTAGGTTTCAACATCTGGGTTTCTCAGCAAACACACAAGATTGCCTAAATATATGCTACATTTATCAAAGTTTCTAACTTTCGTTCATAAAACCATAGAGAGATGCAAAATATTCAACTGTTACAAAAAAGCCCCAACTTTTGGTCGGAGAAAGACACATGCAAGTGTGGATAAACATGTATAACGCCAAAAAAAAAATGTCAGCTTTCGTCACATATAAGCAGAATACAGTCACGCAGAAAACATTTACATCTCTGTATGAAAAGAAAAACACAGAAAGATGAAATCTTTGAAGGAAACATCAGCAAAAGATCTCACTTTTAGACAAGAAACCCACAAAATCAGAGAGATGAAGCAACGATTGCGTAAGAGAAAGAAAGAAAAAAAACTTTTAAGATATGACGCAAAAAAACATGTATGACCAGAAAAGATGTAAGCTTTCATCACATACTAGCAAAACACAGTCACGCTGAGAACATTTACAGGTTTGTTCAACAGAAACACCCAGAAAGATTAAATATTTTTAACAAAAACCTCACCAAAATTTTCGCATCTGGGAAGGAAACCCACAAAATCACACTAAAGTAACAAACTTTAGAACACCTTACCATTGAAATCTGCGGAAAAAAGAACCAGAAGAAAGCTGCATGCGAGAGTAGATAAGTATATAAGCTTTGAAGAAGAAAAAAAGCGAATTTTGGTCTTTTAAAAAACAAAACAACTCCGACAGTAAGTTTTTTGAAGAGAAATAACAGAAATAACATAGAAACCACACAAAAAATGCACAGACCCAGAGATTAAATAAGCCACATTTCAAAGAAATACTTGACCTATGAAGCTAAAAAGCATAAACCCTACAGAAAAAATCCCCAAAAGTCTAAACAGAATAAACATCTACAATAGCCTAAAATCATACCAGTGAGTGTAGCGATTGAAACGAAACGAAACCCTGACAAAGAAATCTTTTCAGTCTCTCTCTCTCTCTCTCTATCACTTTTTTTTTATGGTATCTTTTTTTTTTGTTTCGCTTTTCTGCTCCGAGCTGAAGGGGAAGAAAATGTGCAGTTACAGTCGATTAAATTAAAATAGTGGATCCTTCGCCCTACAGTTATATTATACTACGATCCGATACATCATAGTAAACATGCTCTTACAATTTTGACCGTTCATTTACTTGACTTTTTATGACCTGTGATCTTAACCACTCGTTAGGATTACTTTATAGAATTATTTTCTGTTTATATAAAATTCTTTTTATATCTTTTTTAATCCATAATTTTCTGAAGTGAAGCTGGTCTTACGATCTTGACTGTTCATTAGAGTGACTTTTTTTACAGACGTACAATCTTGACCGTTTGTTAGTGTGACTTTGGTTTATAGACTTTTCTCGGTAAAAGTTTCGTATCCGCTAGGACGATTTTGAATTTTTTAGTAAAATTGTTGTTGTTACTGGTAATGATGGACAAAACAGTCCGACGTGTCCGTATACTAGTAAATTGAATGTGCGCATTAATCGACACGTACAGTTGGTATAAGTATGGATTTAACAACTGCTCAAGATCATAATTCATGCTACATCTGTAAACAAAGTCACTTTAATGAGTTTCAAAATCGTCAGAGAAGCTTCATTTTTTAAAAATAATAATAATAATAATAATAAGTTTATCGAAACATAAAATAATGCTATAAAGTAATTCTAACGAACGGTTAAGACACACAGCCACATGCCATAGATAATTCAATCTAATAACTAATAAACGGTCAAAACTGTAAGAGCATGTTCACTTTGAGTAGAATAACATAACTATAGAGCGAATGATCTACAATTCATTTAATCGATTACTAGATGTTGGACATGTTGGACTTACGCGTCCACGTAAGTATATGATTTTTGAAATAAATTTTATAAATATTTAAATTATATGGTATAAGATGGATTATTATATAAATTATATTATTTTAATAATTAAATAAAGTAAGTTTTCAAGTAAATAAATATAATTATTTATCATTCATATATATAATTATGAGTAGTTAAATAATTTTTTTACACTCAAAATATATTTATCAAATATTTTAAATTAGATGAATAAAAAATTGGTAATTTATTCTTAATAAATTATATTTTGTATTGATCGAGATAATTATCGACTACACAAATGTATGCGCATCCACGCGGGAATGAAGTTTTTTAAAATAAAACTATTCAGTCTACAAAATATGCTATGAGTATGAGGTTTATAATGTGATTTTACAGTTATATTAATAATAGATTATATTTTGTGTTATGAGAATTAAATTATTTTTTTAAGTATAAAAATATTAAGTTGAAAATAAAATAAAATAAGTTACATGTAACTTATCCAAATACGTTGTAATTGTAGATACGCGAGTTGTTATTGTAAAAGTTTATATATTTTTAATATTATATTTAATTTTTTTTTTCTCCTTCTCTTTTCTATTCTTTGTTCTTCTTTTTCTTTATTCGTATACTCTGTTTTTCTTTTTTGTTCTTCTTTTCTTTCTTTTTCTCCGTTCTTTTTTTTTCTTCTCCGTCTTTTTCTTCTTCATCATTCTTCTTTTGTGTTCTTCTTTTTTCTGTATGTTGTTCTTGTTTTTTCGTTCTTCTTCTCCTTTATCTTTTTTTTTTTATTCTTCTCTATCCTTCATTTTCTTCATATATATTTTTTTCTTTGTTTCCGTTTTTTGTTTCTTTCATCTTTTTTTTTTCTATATTCTTTTCTTCTTCTCGGTTCTTTTATTTCTTCATCTTATATGTTCCTTTCCCTTTTTCTATGTTCTTTTCCCTTCTTTTTTTTTTCTTATTTTAGAAAAAATAATCTAACCATATTAACTAATTTGCTCATGTTTTATTTTACTGTTGTTTTCCAAACCCAACTTCTATATTTATTTGTTGGGCAATTCAATTGAAAGAAGAATTTAATTTTTGACATTTTAATTCTTTTTATAATTCAGTTATATGAATAAGAGTATATATTAGTTAGTTGTATATTTTTGTTCTTCTTCTTTCTATTTTCTCTTTTCTGTTATTTTTTCTCCTTCTTTTTCATTTGCCTGGGCTAATATTTTCGTATTTGGTTTTATTTTTTCGTTATTTTTTCATCTTCTCTGCTGTTTTTCATCTTCTTTGTGGTTCTTCTTCATCACTTCTCCTTCGTTTTATTTATTATTCTTCATCCCTTCTGCTCCTTAGTTCCTTTTCCTTCTTCATCACTACTTATCCTTCTTCACATTTTCTTCTCTTTTTTTTTTCTCCTTCTTCTTCTCTGTTATTATTCTTTTTCATCTGCTCTTATTCTCATTCATCTCTTCTCTTTATTCTCCTACTTATTCTCTTTCTTCTTAATCCCTTCTTCTTCTCCTCATTCATCTATTTTTGTTCTTCTCATTCTCTTTTTTTCTCCTTCGTTTTTCTTATTCTCTATTCTTCTCCTTCTTTTTTTTTCTTTTTTGGATTACCAAGAAGTTCTAGACTGAAGCCTGCAATCTCTCCAAGCCCAAAATCACATCATATTATATTATTTTTGTCCCAAGCGTCACTCGATCAAGTGACCCCTAAGCTTTTTCTAGGATCCTTTACCAGTCGAGCTAACGACACTTGTTACTCATTCGTCTTCTCCTCCATCTTTTCTTCTATGTTATTCGATATTCTCCTTCATCCCCTCTTTTTTCTTTGTCCCTTCTTCTTATTCTTCTACTCTTTCATGCCTTCTTCTTCTTCATCCATTCTCCTTCTTCTCCGTTCTTCTTTTCTGTTTTTTTTTTCATCTTCTCCGTATTTCTTAATTTATTTGCCTACAAACAAATTTGTTTGGCTTATTATATTATTGCATAATAATAAGAATATGATTATTATTTTTGTAATATTTGTTTGCAATATCTTTTATATTGTGTGAATTTATATAATTTTATCAGATATATTTATAGCAATTATAATTGTTATTTGCTTATAAATATATTTGTTTGTCCTATTATATTGTTGCATTATAATAGATTGTTATTTGTTTATAAACATATTTGTTTGGCCTATACATGAAAAATATGTTTTTGTTATATTTCTTTTTGCTAAATGTTTTATATGTATAAATATTTATAATTTAATCTTATACATATATAGTAATTATAATTTTCATTTCGTTTTATATAATTTAGATGTAATTAATTTTAAGATTAATTAGAATTTTTGAAATAATTATTTATGAAAATATTTAAATTATTCAAATGTGTTTGGTAATTAGAATTGAACTAATCTAAATAATATATGAAAATCAATGTGTTTGGTAATAGGTATATAAGAATTAAAAAAAATAGAAGAAAAAATTAATTGCTTGTATTAACAAATGACTAAACTACCATTAATGAAAATCTAAGGAGAAAGTTAAAATACAATGGTATTTCATGTAATATAACACATGATTTATGTTTAAACATTTAAGTGTTCCTTTTTTAATAGTATGGATATGATTGATCATGTTCCCTTTCTGCTCGGAGCAGAAAAGCGAAACAAAAAAAGGGATAAAGAGCGAAAAACTGAAAACAGATTGTTACCACATAGGGTTTCATCTTTGATTCAATTTGTACACTCACATGTGTGATTTTAGGTATGCATTCTAGCTCCATAGATTAAAATTTTATTTGAAATGTAGCTTTTTTAATCTATTATGGGCTTTGTGCATTTTTGTGTGATTTATGTGTTATTTACTTATTTTCCTTAAAAAAAAATTGTTTGTATGAAAGAAAAACCATCTTCAAAGCAATCAATGAAGTTTGAGATTGGCAATTGGTCTAAGATCTCTTGAACCTTCTCCATCCCAATCTGCAAAATAGATTTCTCAGACACTTGCACAACATAACACTTGCACAACATATGCTGTGAGTTGATTTAAGATCTACATGGTTGGGTCTTGAGATATATTGACGAATTCTTCATTATCAAATATTCCAAATTCATCCACTTTGTGGCTTTGGTGTTTGCAGTGGAAAGATTAGCAGTTATCGAAGTTTTCTTGCATGCAAAAATCAGAAGAATTGAGAAGATTTATATCGAAAACAATTCAGAAAGGCTTGATTTTATTGATTTATATCACAAAGTATTTATATGTTTCAGTATTGCATATACGTTAGTATCGTATCTATAGAGAATATTTGCAACAATGGTTGACCAAGAACATCCTGAGGGACCTCCACCAGCTCACGGTGCTGTAGGAAGGGGCAATGGAAACCCCAACCACGCAGCTAGACCCTCACGGATCATTGGTGCCGGAGATGCTCCTAATACGCATCACAATCGTTTTGGGATCACTCCTCCACCAGTACAGAACAACAACTTCGAGATTAAGCCAGGGTTCATCTCTATGGTTCAGAATAGCAAGTTCCATGGACTGGCAATGGAAGACCCCTTGGAGCATCTTGACAACTTTGAGCAAGTTTGTGGGATGATAAAGATCAACGGTATCTCGGAAGATGCATTCAAGCTCCGGCTCTTCCCATTTTCTCTCGGAGATAAGGCTAGGTATTGGGAGAAGACCCTTCCACAAGACACCATTACCTCTTGGGCTGAGTGTAAGAAGGCTTTCCTCTCAAAGTTCTT